GGGGGGGAGAGGAAAAAAAGAAGAGGTTTATTGTTGTTAATCTTCTGTGGTTACTGTTTAAAAATTTTGGACGTATAATATGTTCAGAGAATGATTATAGTTGTGTTACATTGGAATAATTGAGTAATTTTTTGTCTGACAATTGATTAGTTCTGATTTAGTGGTGGTGCTTAGTTGATGTATATAGTTTTCTATGATTTTATGATCAGAGTTATAATTGCATCACCGACAATAATGTTTCGTTGTTGTTTTCTATATAGCAAAAGATTTTCTGCTCTTTTTTCCTTGGAATCTAGAGCCAAATATGAAATTGAGTGATGAAGAAGGATAGTGATTAGTAGTGATATAATTGCTGATAGCTCAGGCTTTTTTCAACTTGTAATCTGTTCAAAAAAAATGAAGGCACAATTGTTTTGTGGCTGTAATTTTCTTATTTCCGTTTTTTGTCTTTATTTTATTATTCTATAAGTCTTTTTTTTCTGTTTTAATGCGGTTATTTAATATGAGATAAGAAAAAGACAGGCTGTTTTTTTCTAAAATTTTTTATTTATTTGTTTTACTTTTCATTTTCTTTTTTTAGATAAGGGGTTTTTTGTTTCGGTTTTTTTTTGCATTTTTTTCCGGTCTTTTTTTTTCTGTTTTTTATTTATTTTGTAAATAACAGTTGGAGGGATTAGTTTTGGAAGATAAATTGTACTGATTGGCAAGAAAAAAAGACTGTTTTGCCTGTCAGCTGTGCATTTACCTGATATTTTTTGTTTTCTCTTATTTCTATACTTTTGGTTATAATAGTTTTTTTTTACGAACTATATGAAATAATTCAAAAAAAGAAAAATAAATAAATATATAGCTGAATGACGGAAACATTAAAATGGAGAAACTTTTTTTTGATGACTATCGGTGAATGCATTTACTGCAATCAGATACTGTCAAAATAAAGGTTTCACTTTTTTTTTCTTCACTAACAGGTTTAGTCTTCACGTACTGGATTCATGTTTCAAGTTTCTAAACTACCGCAAGACATTTTTGTGCTTTACCATTTTTAAGCTATCGTTGTCCAGCAGTTTTCGAAGTTGATAAAGAATTGGAAGTTGTTGAAGTTTACGAAAACCATCTTATAGCCCTGGAAGTTTAAAAAAAATTGGCCATGTTTAAGGTTAGGAAAGATGGAGCAACTTTTCGTAAATTTAATTTTTTACTGCTCGTATTCAATTTATTTTGGATTTCTGCTTTTTTTCGGAACGAACTGTGTCTGTTT